CAGTGGGCGGGGAGGTGCAGTGGGCGGGGAGGTGCAGTGGGCAGAGAGGTGCGGGGAGCCTGACATCCCTGCCTCTGAGACTAGAGGCAGTTGACCGGCAAGTGAGATACCTGGACGGAACTTAGGCCCTTATTGGATTTGGGTTTTTTTCGGTTTGCACGTTCTGGGTGTGGGGATTTAAGAGCTGAGTTGACCAGGGACGTAGCCTGTGCAGAAGTTGACCTGTAACTTTCAGCACTAGATGAACTGCAGAGGTGCTTCTGGCCCACAGGTCTTCTGTCCCCACTCCGTGCTGCATCCCCCCTTTCCACAGTTTCCAGGAGCTGTGGAAGGAGATGCTCTTGCTCTCTCCCATGACCCGAGGTACGGGTGGGAACCTTTCCTCTAGCCAGAAAGCCTCCAGACCCTTATTCACCCACGTTCCTTGGCTTGGAGACTTCCTCCTTTCTCCCAAATCTTCCTTTTCTGTGCACTTTCCCCACTGGACTCCCCTCAAGCAGAACCTGGAATTCCCAGCTCTGCTGTCTCCAGTTCTCTCTTCCCCGCACTCATGGCGACATCAGCTACCAGTCCCAGTTCACCTCTGCGGGCAGAGGACCTCCTGAGTGACTCCTCAGAAGCCCCTGGGCTGAACCAAGTGTCCTCGGAGGTGACCTCCCAGCTCTATGCCTCTCTGCACCGCAGCCGGCAGGCTGAGGCCACAGCCCGAGCGCAGCTGTATTTACCCTCTGCCTCCCTCCCGCCTCACGAGGGCTTGGACGGCTTGGCCCAGGAGCTGAGTCGCAGTTTGTCCGTTGGATTGGAGAACAACTTGAAGAAAAAGATGAGGGAGGTGTGTCTGGGGGGCGGGGGGCCTCTAAGATTTTGGGATTGGGGGTGATAAAAAACAAAAAGCTTTATTGAGATTTGAACTGTTGTTGGATTTCAAATTCCCTTTAAGTACACAGTCATGCTTGTTTCCGGAAGCAAATGTGTATGAGGGGGAGAGTGGCCTGGGACACCGTAATTTGGGAAATCGTGAAATTTCCCAGTGTTTTCCTTTGTCAGAGCTACCTGCACTGTGGGCTAGGTTGCTGTGCTTTGGGGTTTGGGGGCTGGGGGTGAGGATAAGTTTTCTCCATCCTAAAAAGTAACTAGGGACTTAAGGATAGAGCAACATATGCTAAGATCCCTCCAGCTCAAAACTGTTTTGATTGTATGGTTCAAAATTAGGCATGTAAATAATGAAAGCATCTATACTAATAAAAGGGTAATATGTTAAATAGACCAGACATCTTCTGGATGTCCTTCTGGACAAAGTCACGGTGGTGGGGGCAGAGGCAGTTAGGGTGATCAGGCCAGCAGGCAGAGGTGGTTAGGGGTGATCAGGCAGCCAGGCGAGCGGTCCCAGATTGTGAGAGGGATGTCCGACTGCCGGATTAGGCCCGATCCCTAAACCAGCAGTCGGACATCCCCCAAGGGGTCCCAGATTGGAGAGGGTGCAGGCTGGAACCCCCCCACACACACCTGTGCATGATTTTCATGTACCGGGCCTCTAGTTGTTTAGTAAACATGTTACAGAGAAGATATTAGTGTTGCATAGAAAAGGTCTCACAATTTGCAAACTGGTAGGCCTTCCAGAGTTTGAAAAGCTGATAGCCATGGGCTACACAGTCTTTAGGCAGGGTATTTGCTCCCTAGTCAGCAAGAATCCTCTCCACGTTTAATTTAACGTGCCAGATCAACTTATTCACACAACCTGTCTGGCTTCTGTACACATTTGAGTGTGTGACCCTTACTGGGTCAAGTTCTCCTGTTCTTGCTTTTCTAGGTGCTGGAGCAAAAGATATTGGGCTTTAGGGGGTACTGGATGCCATCTACCCTGGCAGTAGTTGAATATAGATTATTCAAGTTGCTTCTGGTTTCTGTGTTCCTTTTTTCTAGGATGGTTCCAAGCATATCTTTGAGATGGAAAGTGTTCGGGGCCAACTCCAGAGCATGCTCCAAAACTCACGTGATACAGCCTATCGTGAGTAAATCCCTTCCCCACAAAGGAGAACCTGGATTTACGGGATGGGAGAAAGTAGAGAAAGGAAGTGGCTGCGGGAGGGCCTACACCTCTGACAGGATTTCCGGAGGAAAGGCTCCGTTCTTTGGCAGAGGGGCCGGAGGAGAGCGTGAAGTAGAAAGGAAGGCGCTCTGTTCTCTTCTCCAAGTGGTCCCTGTTCTCTCCTTACCTGACCCTGGCTGTGGGTCCCTCTGCCTCCCTGCAGGGGATCCCCTTACTCCAGGTGCTGGTTCAGAGAGACGGGAAGAAGACTCCTTTGACAGTGAAAGCACAGCCACCTTGCTTAAGTGAGTTCTCCTTGGGATTCTTCTAGCTTGCTTTTTTGGGAAGCCGAGTGTTCGATTCCTTACTGCCCTTGTACCTCTTAAGACCTAAGACACTTGTCACTTAGCTTTTGGTTTTATCCGTTCTCTCCTATCTTCTCCCTTTACTCCTTCAGGAACGTGGGCATCTGCTGACTAGTACCTGGCCTTCTCCCCACCTCTAGTCCTCCTTCTCCCAGGAGAGTTAGCTTGCTTCTGCTGAGACTTTTACCACAGGAAGTGTGGCATAGAGGAAGGAGCACTATAGAGTGAATCATAGAACCTATGTGCTACTTATGGTTCTACTAGAGACCTGGTGCATGAATTCGTGCATGGATGGGGTCCTGCTGACCCTGATCGCGGTGATCAGGCTGGCGAGGGGAGGGGCCTAGAGCAGTTGGCCGGCCAGCCCCACCCCCTGGTCGAACTCCCAGTCCAGGGGACAATTTGCATATCAGCTTTTAATTATATAGGATCACTACCTAACTTAAAGACTTCAACTGAGTCTCTTGCCCTTTCTGAGTTTTAGTTTCCTCATTGTAAGATGTCACGGTTGGACTAATGGGTCTCAAAAGTTTTCCCAATCTTAATATTTCTACCTGGTTTGCTCAGCACCCGGCCCCTGCAAGACTTATCTCCATCTAGCTCAGCCCAAGCCCTGGAGGAGTTGTTTCCCCGTTACACCAGCCTTCGGTCGGGACCCCCACTCAATCCCCCGGATTTCCAGGGCCTGAGAGATGCACTGGATTCAGAGCATACACGCCGAAAGGTGAGATATCAAAGCTTCCTTTTGAAAGCAGCAGAGATTAGAAAAGGGCTGAGTGCTAAAAAGGCAAAGGCTTAAGGGCCCACACGCTGGGACTTTGCTCAGATGGCTCTTCAGGGAGACCTCCTTTCACCATCCCATCTAAACGGCACACCTCTCCGCCACGTAGTCATTACTCTCATTTCCTTCATGTAGCTTATCACAGTCTGATATATCTTGCTTGTTTTGCCCTTCTGAAAACTAAGCTCCTTGTTCAGCACTGTCTTCCTAAGGTTTAGAATATACCTAACACATAGAAACACTCCATAAGCATGTGGTGAATACACAGTGAACTCTGTTGTCTTGTCAGAGGCTTTATAGCTGCTGATGTAATGAGCTTTATCTCTCTGCACCGTAGCCTGTCTGAAGTGGAAGAAAGAGACACAAGACAGAAGAAAAATCAAAATCACCGATTATGTTGTCATTTTTGGAACTCTGTCTTCTATTTTCTTTTTTGTTAAATATATTTTTATCGATTTCAGAGAGGAAGGGAGAGGGAGAGAGAGATAGAAACATCAATGATGAGAGAGTTATTGATCGGCTGCCTCCTGCATACCCCCTACTGGGGATCAAGCCTGCAACCTGGGCATGTGCCCTCACTCGGAATCGAACCCATGACCTCTCGGCTCATAGATTGATGCTCAACCACTCAGCCACGCCAGCTGGGCTCTGTCTTCTATTTTCAACTGCCTGGGCATGAATGAAAGGCTTTTGCCTTTATCCTTGCTTTGTTTAATCATTGTGTTCAATGAGCTTCTCAGGCAAGAATAACCCCCACTCCTTGCAGCGTGGGCTGCTGCACCTCTGCCAGAAGGTCCATAGATCAGGGAAGGGGAGAGCCTGGAAGCTAAGCCCCTGCTCTCTGAGATGGCAGAGGAAGGTGGTGGAGGCCTTGGGCCTTAAGGTTCCTGCTCTATAATTCCCGATTTTCCCCCAGCTCTATTCTGTTCTTGGGACACAGCCCATTTCCTGTCTCCAGTCCATTTCTCTTAGAGGAGGAGGAAGGTGTGGTGCTTGGTCAGACTGAGGATGGCAGCACTCAGTTTCCTTATCCTTCTTCCCAGCATTGCGAGCGCCATATTCAGAGCCTACAGACCCGAGTGCTGGAGCTGCAGCAGCAGTTAGCTGTGGCCGTGACTGCTGACCGCAAGAAAGACATCATGATTGAACAACTGGATAAGGTGCCAGGCTAGCAGAATGTGCTGGGTCTCTCCACGGGGAGCACCAAGGAATAGTAAACAGGGGTGGCCAACCAGCATCTCTTTGCTCATGCTAGGAGCGGGGGTGAGGGGTGGTACTGACTCCTGGGAGAAGGTAACTGTTGATCTTACCCCCATGGACAGAAAGAGGACAAAAATGTTATTTTGAAATTCCATCTGCCTTTCCTTTCCTGAGACCCTGGCCCGCGTGGTGGAGGGCTGGAACCAGCATGAAGCCGAGCGCACAGAGGTACTTCGGGGACTCCAGGAGGAGCGCCAGGCAGCTGAACTCACTAGAAGCAAGCAGCAGGAGGTGGGCAATGTGTTTCACATGGAATTAGAACCCCGGTCACTGATTGCTAGCGTAAGGGGAGTAGAAACAGCTCTGGATTAGGTCCTAACAGATTGACCTCAATCTTGCAGTAACTGGCCTGACAGTTCTCTCCTATTTCTGCTCCTTTCACTGTTTTTGTTGTTAAACTTGCATCACTGATGTCTTCCCAGCTTTCCGTACACCTTGCAGTCTTTTTGGCTCTCAAGTCATTTCGTTAACTCTTAGTTTTAAAGTTTACATTCTTAATGCTTATTGAAGTATAACATATAGAGATTCCCCTCAGTTCCTCTGTCCTATGTACCTCTCTTCCCAAAAGACAGTAACCCGCCTGGAACAAAGTCTTTCTGAGGCCCTGGAGGCCCTGAATCGCGAGCAGGAAGGTGCCAGAATACAGCAACGGGAAAGAGAGATGCTGGTAAGAATGCCGGGCTTGGTTAATTCCAATAGAGGCTGTTATGTTAATTACTTCTAGAAGGCTATGGGCAATTGGTGGATGTGGGAATTCAAAACTTTAGTTACACCAGGGCAATATTGCTCAAAGTGTGTTCCTTAGAACACTATTCCGCTAGATACCCTCCAAAAAGGGCTCTGCCACAAGTAAGTTTGAGAGACTACAAATTAATCCTCACCACATACATCTAGGGCAGTGGTTCTCAACCTTCCTAATGCCGCGACCCTTTAATACAGTACTTCATGTTGTGGTGACCCCCAACCATAAAATTATTTTTGTTGCTACTTCATAACTGTAATTTTGCTACTGTTATGAATCGTAATGTAAATATCTGATATGTAGGATGTATTTTCATTGTTACAAATTGAACATAATTAAAGCATACTGATTCATCACAAAAACAATATGTAATTATATATGTGTTTTCCGATGGTCTTAGGCAACCCCTGTGAAAGGGTCGTTCGACCCCCAAAGGGGTCTCGACCCACAGGTTGAGAACCGCTGATTAGGGGATTATTTTAAAATACGGATTTCTGGGACCCATCCCCAGAGGTTTTGACTCAGTAGCTATATGATGGTGGTTAGGAACCTAAATATTTTCAGAAATTTCCTAGGTGATTTTGTTCAGCCAGGTTTGGGAATTCTAGTCTAGGGCATAGCCAAAGAAGGGATGATACTCATTCATGTTTCTTATTGCTGAAATGATAAGGTGATTACCCATATGAATTAGTAGCCAGGTTTGGAACTTGTTGCATGCATGACACATGCTTGCTACATGCATGCTGGTACTTAAAATCTTAGCAGGCTACATCCAACCGTGTTTTGAAGGTTGCTGGTTGGCTACTGCATGATAGTAGGCTGGGTTTTTTATTCTTTGTGGAATTTTTTATGATGGTGATAGCTTTTATATATTGAAAACTTACTAAGTGCTAAATGCTTTACATATACTTTTTTTTCCCAAGGGATTTTCTAATTGATTTTTTGAGAGAGAGGAAGAGGGAGAGAGAGAGAAATATCGATGTGACAGCGATACATCGATCAGCTGCCTCCTGCACTCCCCCTACCAGGGATTGACCCCGCAACCCGGGCATTTGCCCTGACCAGGAATCGAACTGGCAGCCTTTTGGTGCATGGGATGATGCCCAACCAACTAAGCCACACCAACCAGGGCTACATACACTTTTTACTTTAATCTTCACAAGGTAGACCCTAATATTATGCCTGCCCATTTCACACATAGTAAATGACAGAGCTGGGATTCAAACTGAGATTTGAACCCAGACTTACCTATTTCTGGAACAAAAGCTCTTATCATATTATAATCCTGTAGGCTTGTCAGCTTTTGTATTTTTAATGGACATAATTCTCAGCTGGCACATTGTGTGGGGGTGGAGGGGCAGATTGCTGGTCTCTTGAGGGCATGCTGAGGATCTTGGTTTTATCCCGGGACTATAGGAAGAGGAAAGGCAAGCTCTGACCTTGAGCCTGGAGCTCGAACAGCAGCAGTGCCGGGCCCTGCAGGAAGAACGGGATGAGGCTCGTGCTGGGCAAATCAGTGAGCACCGACAGTTGGAGACACTGCAAGTTGCCCTAGAAGAAGAGAGGCAGGCCTGGGCCCAGCAAGAGCGCCAGCTGAAGGAGCGCTGCCAGGCCCTGCAGGAGGAGAGCCAGGCTCAGCTGGAAAGGGAAAAGGTAAAAGCAGCAGTTGGGCAACGGGGAACAGATGAAGGGCAAGACAATTGAATAAGATGGGATGTCAGAATGTGGGGTATACGGGGCTGGGATGGAGAGTGAAGAACTATATGTGGGAGACAAGATGGAGATTGTAGGGCCAGCTAGAAGGGCTTGGGCATCAAATACACGAAAACCAAAGAGTGGGGTTAAACAGAGATTAGAAACTAGATCAAATGTGAAGGGAGGGAAAGGAAGCTTGGGTTTAGGGTATGGGGGTGGGGGTGCGTTGGGGAATAGAGGTAACCAGGAGACAGGAAATTCAGTATGTATTTAAGTTTGATTTCCCTTTCTCAGGGGAACTTGCAGAGGGAAGCCCAGGCCGCCCGGGAGGCCCAGCAGCAGCTGGCACTGATGCAGGCCGAGATGCGACGGGTAGAAGGAGAGCTGGATACAGCCCGGAGAGAGAGAGACGCCCTGCAGCTGGAAATGAGCTTGGTGCAGGTGAGTGGAAGGAACTCTGAAGCAGCGTGACCTTTCAGGAGTCATGGCAAACACTCACGTTTCTAATTAGACTTTTATGGGCCTTTGTTTTTATGTGTAAAATGTGTGTTAAGGGAAAATTAATAAGTTTCTGAGAGCAAGTCCATCTCAGAGACTTCTTTCCCTTATTAGTGGTTGACTTAAGAAGATATTCAATTTCTGCGTTAGTTAGACCAGTGTTTGAACAAGCACACTCCTTTCACCGTCTCATTGAGTTGGAGGACTGACCACATGGAAACTAATTTATCATGGAAACCAACAGTATAGATATTAGTAAACAACTTATAAGTAGCAATTTATAAGCTGCTGTCACTCCTTGGTGCTAGATGTATGTGTGTACTCGTGTATTCAGTAAGCCTGTTGAATAGCCCCTCCATGTAAGCTCTGTGCTAGGAGCTGGGGTCAGCCCTTGCCAACAAGGAGCTCTCCAGCCAGGTGGGAATTTGTCTAGTGCACACATTTGTGAAGTAGTATGGTAAACGATAATTGAGGGTAAGAACTACTCAAATGTCATTTTCTTAGTGAGGTCTTCCCCAACCACACTGAGTAAAATCTGCAACCTCTGACAATCCATTTCCCTTCCCTGTTTAACTTTCCTCCTAATATACTGCGTAGCATACCTTTTTTTTTTTTTAAATCCTCACCTAAGGATATTTTTTCCATTGATTTTTAGAGAGAGTAGAAGAGAGAGGGAAAGACAGAGAGAAACACATCAATTGGTTGCCTCCTGCACAAGCCCCGACCAGGCCCCAGGCCGGGAAGAAGTCCGCAACCGAGGTACGTGCCCTCGACTGGAATCAAACCCGGGACCCCCGGTCCGTAGGCCAATGCTCCATCCACTGAGCCAAATCAACTAGGGCCATAGCATACCTTTTAAAATCTTGTTTGTTTTCTGTAAGATCCACGAAAGCAAGGATTTTTGTCTATTTATTGTAGAATTCCAGAATAGTGCCTGGCTTTAGTGTTCAAGCCCTCTATTTCCTTATTGTTCTACTATTACTGAAAGTGGGGTATTGAAGTCTCCAACTATTATTGTAGAACTGTCTATTTCTCTCTTTATTCCTGTCAGTTATTAATGTATTTGGGGGCACTCTTAGGTACATAAATGTTTATAATTGTTCTATCTTCTTTTTTCATGTTTTTATTTATTTTAGAGAGGAGGGGGGAGAGAGAGAAACATCGATGTGAGAAACATCGATCAGTCACCCCCCATACACACCCCGACAAGGGATTGAACCTGCAACCTGGGCATGTGCCCTGACCAAAAATCAAACTGGCAACTTTTCAGTGCATGCGCTGATGCTCAACCAGCTGAGCCACACTGGCCAGGGTGCTAATATCTTCTTGATATAACTTTTTTTGACTTAAAATTTATTTTCTCCCACAATAATATAGCTCCTGAGCTCTCTTTTGGTTACTATTGGCATGAACTATCTTTTTACTTACAACCTATTTGCATCTTTGTATCTAAAGTGAGTCTCTTATAGAAAATATATAGGCGGCCCTAACCCGTTTGCCTCAGTGGATAGAGCATCAGCCTGCGGATTGAAGGGTCCCAGGTTCGATTCCAGTCAAGGGCATGTACGTGGGTTGCGGGCACATCCCCAGTAAGAAGTGTTCAGGAGGCAGCTGATTGATGTTTCTCTCTCATCGATGTTTCTAACTCTCTATCCCTCTCTGTAAAAAATCAATAAAATATATTTTAAAAAAGAAAATATATAGGTAGATCATGGCTTTTTGTTTTGTTTTATTAATCATAGGCATATACAAAATTCCCTATTTAGTTTATTTATGATGATAACTACCTTTTTATCAATTACAGTTGACATTCAATTTTTTTTAAGGCTAATTGCTACAGTCTTTTAAAAAAAAATTTTATTGATTTCAGAGAGAGGAAGGGAGAGGGAGAGATAGAAACATCAATGATGAGAGAGAATCATGGATTGGCTGCCTCATGCACGCCCCCTACTGGGGATCAAGCCCACAACCCAGGCATGTGCTCTGACCGGGAATTAAACCGTGACCTCCTGGTTCATGGGTCAACCCTTAACTGCTGAGCCATGCTTGCTAACTTGGTTAGGCTTGCACACTCCCTTTCTCTCTCTTTTTTTCTCTCAACCTCTCTCCTCTTCCCACCCTCTTCTTCTTTCTCTCTTTCCCACCTCATATTATTTGAGAGTTTCTTTTGGACATCATGGAAGAATATTCTTTTTTTATAATTTAAATTATTTAAGATTTATTTTATCTCTTATATATGGTCAGCTTTTCTAAATGTTTCATGTGTGCTTGAGAATATGTATAGTGTTTGGGTGCAGTTTTGAATGTGTGTCTAGTTTGTTAACTGTTTAGACCATTGTAACCATATAGATTTTTTTCTGTTAAATCTCCTTAGTGTGGATTTGTCTATTTTTCCTGCAGTCTGTCAATTTTGCTTTATACATTTTGTGGCTATGTTATTAGATGCGTATAAATTTTAAAATTGTTATATCATTTTCTGGTAATTGGATGTTTATCCTTGCGAGGTGACTATCTTTTATAATGCTTTTGGCCTTAGGGTGTATTTTTGCTTAATATTAATAGAGCTCTACCAGCCTTTCTTTTAAAAATAGAATTTTCCTGGCAAATATTTTTCTAATCTTTTTACTTTCAACTTTTATATATTTGTATTTTAGTCAAAGCATGAGGTTCATTAGCATTTAATCTATTTATTCATAGTTGGATCTGTGCTTTACTTTATATCTTATTTTGTCTTGCCTATTCAGTGTTTATTTTTCTCTCCTTTCTTGTATCTTTTAGATTCATTACTTTTTGCTCATTTTACTCGACATTTTTCTTCCTCAGCTAGTTTCAAAGTCATAAACTCAATTTCTGTTTGTTTGTATGCTTGTATATGGGTTACTTTAGAAATAATAACGTGCATACCTAAATTATCAAAGTTTAATTATCAGAGATAAATATCAAAGACAAAAAAAGGAGCATCAATTCTACATGTATGGTTCAAAGTAGAATTCTCAGAGAACTTTAAAAATTGTTTTTAAAATACAATAAAAGTTATCTGTACCACAGGTTCAAATATCTATAATAATAAAAGCATAATATGCTAATTAGACTGGACATCCTTCCGGATGAAGCCGGGGCTACTGGGGAAGCCCAGGTCCCAGGTGCCAGAGGGAAGCTGGTGCCAGCAGCGAGGAGAAGGAAGGCCTAATTGTGCACGAATTCCATGCATCGGGCCTCTAGTACTAAAGTAAAAAGCATTGATTGCTTCCTCTTATCACACCATTTGGTGTGCCTCCTTCCAGAGCCTTCTCATTTATGGGCTGGTGCATTCAAAACATGTGAACATGCTATGTATTTGCTGCAACTTGTTAGATTTTTAACCTCAGATCGTAGACACCTTTCCATGTCAGTACATTCAGATGTATATCATTCTTTTTAAGGGTTATATAATATTGCAAGGAATAGATGAATCATAGGTTACTTAAGCATTTTTCTTTTGAAGAGAAGTTTACACGGATACCGATTTTTCACTATAAAAACAGTGCTGCAGTGAACATCATTATGCATAGTCTTTGGTACCCCTTCTATAGGACAGATTCCTAAACATGGAATTGCTGGCTTAAAGGGAATATATATTATTATTATTTTTCATTAAAGAAATTAGGTAGCCATAACCGGTCTGGCTCAGTGGATAGAGCGTCGGCCTGCGGACTGAAAGGTCCCAGGTTCGATTCCAGTCAAGGGCATGTACCTTGGTTGCAGGCACATCCCCAGTGCGGGGTGTGCAGGAGGCAACTGGTCAATGTTTCTCTCTCATCGATGTTTCGATGTTTCTGACTCTCTATCCCTCTCCCTCCCTCTCTGTAAAAAAATCAATAAAATATATATTTAAAAAAAAAGAAATTAGGTAACAAGATATCTAGAGTCAAAATCATAGAAACAGAAAGTAGAATGCTGGTTGCCAGGATTTGGGGAGGGGAAGATAGGGGGTCATCATTTAGTGGATATAGAGTTTTAGTTTTCCAAGATGAAAAACTTCTAGAAATCTACACAACAATATAGTTAACACTACTCAAATGTACACTTAAAATGGATTAAGAAGGTACATTTCATATTATGATTTTCTTACTACAATTTAAAACATTTTTTAAACAATGTAGGTTAGTGCAAGAGTTTGGTATGATTGGGACGTATTTGGGAGCAGTGAGGTAGATGGGTGGTGGGAAATCATAAGGGCCTTGTAAGTCATGTTAAGTAGCTAGAACTTTCTTAGCCAGTTGGGGCATTTGAAGGGTTTCAAACAAGGGAATAAATTGCACATTTTTGTATTTTAGGATACTTACTCAGCCACGAAGGGGAGGATCTATTGGGGCCAGAATGGGAGAGGGGAGAGGGTATGGTCGAGGCAATGAGATCAATTAGACTTGAAATGATATTGAATTAATGTAGTGGTGAGTGGAGGGGTAAATTAGATGTTAAGGAAATAGAATGGAACGATCAGTTGAAGGAGTAAAGAAATAGGAGAAGTCAAGGATAACTCCAGGTTTCAAATAGCTTGCGTGTTTCAGTGGAGATCGGTGTCATTAATTAGGGCGAGAAATATAATAGGGACAGAAGGTTTGAGGGTAAAAAACCAAATGAGCTCATTTTGGATGTATTGTGTTTGAGGTGTATCCAAATAGTTATTCAATAGTTGTTCTTTTTTTAAAATCTATTTTTATTGATTTTAGAGAGGAAGAGAGAGGGAGAGAGAGATAGAAACATCAATGATGACAGAGAATCATTGACCAGCTGTCCCCCACTGGGGATTGAGCCCGAAACCCAGGCATGTGCCTTGACCGGGAATCGAACCATGACTTCCTGGTTCATAGGTTGATGCTCAACCACTGAGCCACGCTGGCTGGGCTCAATAGTCGTTCTTAAAGCCTGGAAGAAAGGTCTAGGCCCGAGGTCAGCACACTGCAGCTCGCGAGCCACAGGCGGCTCTTTTACTTTAAAAATTTTACGACCACAGGTCTAGGCTAAAGAGAGAGAGATTGAAAAAGTGTTCAAAGTATGAATGGCAGCAAAAAACCATGGCCTAAAGGCCAAACATTGATTATACACATGCAGAAGCACCAGTGGCCGGAGTGTTAATGCGAGGTCAAAAGAAGGCTGAGGACAGGCCTGAAGGAAGCATTGAACCTTTATGGACAGAAGGAGGAAGAGCAATCAGCTGAGCCGAGGAGCAGTCAGATAGAATGAAAACACAGAGATGGTGGCAGGCGGCATCATGGGTGCCAAGGGAACATGGTTTTAGAAGGAAGGGTTGATGTAGTTGGCAGATATTGCAGCAAGACCACATAAGACTGAGAAAGCACCACTGTTGGACTTAAACATTAAATTCTTTCATGATGTATACTATAAGTAGAAATCATTTCAGTGAGTTGAAAAAGAAATATGAGAAAATGGAGAGAGTGATATAGCCTGGTGCTGCTTTAGGAGAAAGGGACACTGACATTTATTGACTGTCAGGTACTGTTACCTCTGACACATGACAAATTTGATTACTCTACGTAACATTTATTTTGGTTAAAAAAATACATTTCTTTTGTCCAGAGTCATTTTCAGCTTTGTGTACACATAAGGTGTGAATACTTCATGCTCTAAAACAGCGGTTCTCAACCTGTGGGTCGCGACCCCTTTGGCAGTCGAACGACCCTTTCACAGGGGTCGCCTAAGACCATCCTGCATATCAGATATTTACATTACGATTCATAACAGTAGCAACATGACAGTTATGAAGTAGCAACGAAAATCATGTTATGGTTGGGTCCCAACATGAGGAGCTGTATTTAAAGGGCCAGAAGGCTGAGGACCATTGCTCTAAAGGGAAAGGGAACCTCTCCCACTCCCGTGGCAAAGCTCCTGACTCTCATCCCTTGGGCATGTGAGGGGACATGTTGGCACATGGGTTTTTGTCTACATTCTATCATCGTCCTCTCTTAATTCCAAACAGAATTGAGCTATTACCCACCTTCCTCACTCCCAGGCCCGGTATGAAAGCCAGCGGATCCAGCTGGAGTCAGAGCTGGCTGTGCAGCTGGAGCAGCGGGTGACAGAGCGGCTGGCCCAGGCTCAGGAGAGCAGCCTGCGGCAAGCAGCTTCCCTGAGGGAACAGCACAGGTACTGGGCCTTCCTGGATCTGCCCCTCCTGGGCCACACAGGTGCCATTCGTGCCCCGCCCACGTCCTCTCCGAGCCCTTGTCGTTTCCCACGCGCTGGCTGCCGCACCTGGGGGACAGCTGCCTACAGGTGCACAGAGAGCCAGAGTGCTTGATGCGCAGCCTTTACCCAGTGACTGATGGGACAACGATGAGCTGTGACCTACTCCATCTCCAGAGCTGCCCTGTGGGATCGAGCCTCCTTCCCATCCCAGTCTCACTTCCCGTCTTCCCCACTCTCCTACCAGTTTTTTTTGGAAAATGCTTCTTAAGTGAATTATTTTCCCATAAATCCTCATCTCAGCCTCTGCTTCTGGGGAGCCCATCCTAAGGCACCAGCTTTGTCCTCGTCTCTTCCCTGAGCCCGCTGTGCTGTGTCCTGCTGGCCGCCTGTGGCTGGCCGTCTCACAGGCACACATGCTGGCTTACTTCTGTCCCCACGTTCAGTTTTCTCGTCTCATCTGTGTCCTCTTAGGAAGCAGTTGCAGGACCTCAATGGACAGCACCAGCAGGAAGCAGAACGAGAGGAAAGGCAGCAGCAGGTGGCTCAGGACTATGAGCTCAGGTACTGGTCCTGGGCGTCCCCCTTTGAGGCCCGGTCCTTTCCCTGCACGTAGAGCCCAGCCTGGGAGTGGTGAGAGCTGCCCTCCATAGACCTTCCTCTTCCGCATTGGCCCCACCTCCTGTCAGGACTTCCGATGTCTCTGACATTCCGTTTTGGTTCCTCTTATTCCAAGTCAGCTCTCCCGTCTTTTCTTCAGACTGGCCCGGGAGCAGGCGCGAGTGCGGGAACTGCAGAGTAGGAACCAGCAGCTGGAGGAACAGCGGGCCGAGCTGGTAGAGCGACTCCAAGCCATGCTGCAGGCCCACTGGGAGGAGGCAAACCACCTGCTGGGCACCTCTACCCTGCCTGCCAACCCCCCAGTAGGCATTACCCCTTAAGCTAAGCAGCTCAGAGTGTGTCTAGATCCCTTCTTTGGAAATCTAGCTTCTTCCCAAGGGAACTCCTAAGTTCAGGTCCTTGGACCTGCATTTTTTTTCTTTTTTAAATCTGTGTGCTTTTCCCAGAAATAACTGTCTCGTCAAAAGAAATCTTTTTTCCATGGCCATAGCTCACCAGACTGGCCTCACTGCATTGGGCCTCTCTTCTCTCCACCCAAGAGGTGATGAGGAACACATGATATTAGTCTTGCCAAATGGTAGTTGAATTATGATGTTAAGGGCCAAAATTATTGCTAAGTCCTGCCCTAGAGTAGGGTTGAGAGCCTCACCCTTGACCCGTCTTATGTTGGCATCTCCTGCTTCCTTCTTTTAATTACGACATTTTTATTATTAGCTAAAATGTTTTTTTGAATAGGTAGTAGCATGCACATGGTAAGAAAAAAATCCAAACAGATCAAAAAGATCCACAGAGAAAGTAACCTCCATCCCATATCTGCCCCTCAGTCTCCCGGTTCCTCTCCCCAGAAGAACCACTGTTACTGGTGTCTTGAGAGCTCCCCCCACAAACCGTAGCCTTCTTTACACTGTTGTATAATTTTTTATTTAAGTACTTATTAGTGGAATTTAAAGCTGTTGCCTATATTTTGCTACATGCTATAAATTGCTGCAATAAATACCATCAATCTATGTTTTTGTGCAAATATACCTATAAAACTTCTAGAAATGGAATTGTAAGATCAAAAATAAGCATTTTAAAATTTGGTAGACACTACCATCTTCTTTTAAGGAAGTCCCGCTAATTTGTAATCTGTACCGTGTCTTGCCTCTTTAAACGCACTCGGCTTTGGCCCTTCTTTGTGCCTCCCTCTTATCCCCAGGCCCCCGCCGCCCGCCCCTCCAGCCCCGGGCCTCAGGAACGCGAGAAGGGGGAGAGGAGGAACTGGACTGTGCCTCCCATGGCCGTGGCCCTAAAGCCTGTATTGCAGCAGAGCCGGGAAGCCAGGGACGAGCTGCCTGGAGTTCCACCTGTTCTCTGCAGCTCTTCCCCAGACCTTAGCCTCCTGCTGGACCCCCCTTTCCAGAGCCAGCATTCCTTCCAGCCCCTGGAACCAAAGCCAGATCTCACTTCTTCTTCAGGTAATGGGACAGGCATCTTTGGGTTCCCCTGACCTGCACTAATTGGCTCCCTCTTACCTCGCTGCTTTTCCATCTGGGACTTGAGTATTTAGATGTCTGAGTGACCTTAGGTTGCAAGGAGTAGAAATCTACTCAAGTTGGTTTGAATAAAGGCAGGGAGAGCTCATGGAAATGGGGTGTAGCTGGCCCTAATGAGAACTGGAGTGTGGACCCAGCAGCGCTATCGGGCTGAGGCGGCGGCTCCTCCCTTCGGGCTTGCATGGGCTCCTGACGGCCTCTCCCTGCACCTCTGCTTCTCTCTCTAGGCAGACCAGCACTTCCTGTGCTCAGGACTGTAGCTCTCATAACTTCAGCTTGAACATGGATTTGACCAGCCAAGACACTAGATAACCTTACAGAGACCATGGTGTCTGTTCCTTAAGTCCAGTTTAAAGAGAGGCAATCTGATGGGTTGGCAACAGTCCCTTAGGTTGGCTAACCTTGGGAGTGTGCCACTTGGGTGGATGGGGGTGCTCTGTGTGGTGCAAACATGACAACCCAGGTTGAATTAAGAATGAGGGATGCCCTGGCCAGTGTGGCTCATTTGGTTGGAGTGTTGCCCTGTGCACCAAAAGGTCTCAGATTCAATTCCCGGTCAGGGCACGTACCCAGGTTGCGGGTTTGATCCCCAGTTGGGGTGTGTGCAGGAGGTGGCCGATCGATGTTTCTCACATCGATGTTCCCCCTGAATATTAGTTTTGGTTCTTTAAGTAGTTTATGGTGGTACTAGAGGCCGATGCATGAAATTCGTGCAAGAGGCTTGGCCCTCACAGCCCCGGCTTCGTTCGGAAGATCGGCTGGAAGGACATTGGGAAGGTCGTTTGGCTGTCCGGTCTAATTAGCATATTATGCTTTTATTATTATAGATGTATTTATTTAGAGTCTGAGTACTACAGCTTTCCCCTTCCATCTACACTTCTTAGAATTCAGCTGATTCATCTCTCAGTCCTCTTCCACCCTTTCCTCCAGCTACTTTAACTTTTCGTTATCTTCTCCTTGCTGCAGTGTCCCTCATATATTTAATAGGCCTCTTTTGGGGGGGCATTTGGTGAGCTGAGTTGTGGAGGAACCCTTGCCCCACAACATACACATGTGCTTGCGCACATACATGTTTCACTCTACAGCTGGGGCCTTCCCCTCTGCAGCTGGAGCCTTCCATCCGGATCACAGAGCAGAACGGCCGTTCCCTGAGGAAGACCCTGGGTCAGATGGCGATGGCTTCCTGAAGCCAGGGCTGCCACCCCCTTCTCAGCTGGACGGCCTCAAGCATTTTTTGCACCAGGTAAGAGAGGACCCACTCATCCCACCTCTTTTCTTCTTCCTTCCTCATTTCCTTTTTCTACTCTAGGAGTCCAGGCCCTGGCTTCATCTCCCTTTTTGGATGAATACTTTGTCCCAGCTTCTTACTCTCTCAGTCTTATTCCTGTCTCGTAAATCCTTTCTGGAACTTAGGTGGCCAACTGTAGCTCTTACTTCCCCAGCTTCTGCTTCCCTCAGATACCTAAGTCTCTTTATTGGTCCTGAGGGAACCTTACTCTCTTGTCCCCCAGCTGCTGGAGACAGTACCCCAGAACAATGAGGACTCCTCTGTGGACCTGTTACCCCCTAAGTCTGGTGAGTGCCAGCCTGAAGAAGGTTGGGGCTGGCCTGGAGAAGTGGGAGTGGGTTGTGTGGGAAGGACTGTGAGGAGCTGGCAAAGATGGTGGAGCCTAATGAAGGCCAGGGGGCAGGACCGCCTTGGCTCTTTAGCCCACTTCCTGATTCTTTGATCTCTTTCCTTTTGCTAGTTCCCCCGACCGTCCCATCTTGGGAGGAAGCCCCTCACGTGCCACGCCTCCCACCCCCTGTCCATAAAACTAAAGTACCCTTAGCCATGGCGTCTAATCTTTTCCGGGTCCATGAGCTTCCCTCAGCCCATTTACAGAGCAGTGGTCCCAGCAGTGGCTCCCCAGAGAGAGGTAAGCAGGTCATGGTTTACTGGGAGATAAAAAGGGAAGGGGTTGGGTGTGGAGCCAGGAGATGGGATGAGGCCTGGGGAGGAGGGCTAGGATGACAGCCATGACTGATGTCTCTCTAGGGGGAGATGGGCTCGCGTCCTCGAGGCAGCTGATGGAGATGTTACGACTGTACCAGGCTCGGGTCTGGGGGGCACTGCCTGCTGAGGATCTGCTGCTCTACCTGAAGAGGCTGGAACAGAGCGGGTACCAGCCTGGGAGGGAGGGGAGGGAGGAAGGATTAGGGGTAGAATCTGGACTGTGGGCAGGCAGGGAAGGGAGGGATGTGTATGTTGTCCATTGAGTACTCTTTTCTGGGGAGGACCATGAGGGTGAGATGGGCATCAACACGTCGTTTCTTCCCATCTCTCACTGCTCCCCACCTTTCTTTTGTCTCTTCCTTTCTAGTTTGTTTTTTTCTTTGCTTCTAAAAAGTCTCTTCACAATGTCTTTCTACCTTAGTTTTGTCTTCTTTACCCTGCAGCTCTTAATTCTGAAGCCTAGGCTGTGATTTCCTAGTATAACTCAGTATTTGATTCCACTTATATCTCCTCCTATTGAATTCCAGGTCTATCTTGTTTATTTTTATTCTTTTTTAAAATATATTTTTATTGATTTCAGAGAGGAAGGGAGGGGGGTAGAGATAGAAAAACATCAATGACAAGAGCGAACCATTGATTGGCTGCCTCCTGCACACCCCTTACTGGGGGATCGAGCCTGCAACCCTGGCATGTGCCCTTGGTCAGAATGGAACCTGGAACCCTTCAGTCCACAGGCCGATGCTCTATCCACTGAGCGAAACCAGCCAGGGCTATTTTTCTTCTTAAGACAGAGTTGGGGAGTGGTTCTTCTATTCAGTCTTGGGGAGAGTGGGAGGAACTGCTTCCCCATCTTGCTCCCTTTATGGCAGGTCTGACAGCCGAGGGGATACTGTCCCTAGAAAGAACACAGACTCCCGCTTGGGTGAGGTCCCCCGGAAAGAGGTGAGCGCAAGCAGGGCAGAAGGAGGGGGATGGAAGGGCTCCTACTCACTCCCGGGGCTCTGTTCTCTGTGGCCTCGCCCATCCGATTGCTGTTCCATTTTCTGCAGTGGCCCCTCCCCTTTGCGGAAAGACGCTGGTCCTCTCCGGGCAGGACGCCTTTCCTCAGTGGGGTTGGGGATGAGAGTACACAATGCTGACTGTCTCTTCTCTCCTTCAACGCTCAGGTTCCCTCCCAGGCTCTCCCTCGCCGCCTGGCCACAGTCCCTAAGACTGAAAAGCCTCCAGCACGCAGGAAAAGCGGGCACCCTGCCCCTGGCAGCATGAGGAGCCGGGCGGGAATCTGGAGATGAGCCCTGCCCTTTCTCCTCCTCTTCGTGCTCTTGTTACTCTTTTAATAAATGCTCGATAGTCTGCGTTAGAGCCTGTGACTCTTAGGAATTGGCACATGGAGGTTTTGTAGGAAACTATTTTGTAAAGAAATCTCATTTTATTCTGTTTGAGTATGTTTTTTATACGTTACATTTCTATTTTATATTCTGTGGAAAAAGACATGAGGACAGTCTTATGGCTAGATTGGAGAAGCTTTAATGAGCTAAGTTAGTTCAATGTTTAAAGGCTAAAACCTACAGAGTGACTAGCTGTGGTTGGCAGTGTAATTTTGAATGATTTTTATTTTCTTTATACATTCCTGTGTTTTCCAAATTTTCTAAAACATGTATTATTAAACAGAAAAAAACAAACTTTTTAATAAAAGAATAAGTTATGGAAAGAGTTTGAGTAAAAATTTGATTGTTGGAGAGAGAGATTTTTCTTTCAGGAGCAGATAATTATTTTAAGATTTTAACTTTTTTAAAAATAATTGATTTGAGAAAGGAGGAAGGGAGAGGGGGTGCACAAAGGATAGGGAAGGAGAGAGAAACATTAACTGGTTGCTTCCTGTACACTCCCAGACCTGGGATTGAACCCTCAACCTAGGTATGTGCCCTGACTGGGAATCAAACCTGCAACCTTTTGGTGAATGGAACGATGCTCCAACCAACTGAGCCACCCGCCCAGGGCCTAGGTGAGCGTTTTTAGTGAGAGAATCTACTGGAGTCTGTGGAGTCCTTCTATTTGCTCCTGAATTATTCGGTTAGGCCCAAAATAGATATAATGGGATACAGACTCAAATAGCATTTCATATTAATGAATGTTTAGGTCTTATTTCCTCCCACCTAAAAAGTAACTTCCTAGCCCCTGGGAGAGGGAAAAAGGAAGAAAAGATAAGCACACCTGACCAGCAGGTGTATGGTTCTCCTGCCCCGACTCTGGCCAGGACAGCGCGGTCAGCGGCCTCACTCAGGACCGCTCTCGCTGGCGAAGAAACAAAGGGCAAACTCGCAGAGCAGCACTGGGCTCGGGGGCCTTTCAAGCTGCCTCTTCACCCACCGATGGAGACGTTTGCTTTTCTGTTTTTTACCTCAAATACATAAAATTGACTTGACCAAACTCTGTGACTTATGACACAGTATCATTTTCGGTAGCAGAGAGTTTTATACCATTTTTTAAAAACTGGCAAAATGAACACCCAGTCTTATCTCATTATCTCTTGGATTCCAACTTGCCACCATCAGTCAGCATGCCCTACATTTTTCTTAACATTAAAGACAGTCAGGAGAATATTTTCCAGCTCTCCGGAACAAAATCAGAAAAGGGCACAGTGCTGACTTAACCATTTTGTGAGCTAATTATTTTCACTTTTTGCAAATATGCTGTACCCACAGAAAAGTCTGCTTCTTCACCAAATACCACCACGGAGGCTGGGGAGGAGGAGAAAACCCACAGTCAAGCAGCCCCCCAGTTTTCCTCCTATAATTGTCTTGGGAATGTTCTGAGAGAAAAATTAAAAGTATTTTTGGAGCGCTATATAAAAGCCCGCGTTTAGACGAGGGGGTTGCATCGGTTAAGATCAGGTTTCACTTGGCGTTCACAGGGTGTGACATGGGACTTCGCCTCCCAAGGACTCGCACAGCTACCTGGTGTTGGTAGGGGAGGCTCCGGTGGTAGAAGGCATTAGGGTAAAGGCTCAGCTGTTATAACAAACCCAATGGTACGTGACTTTTGGGCCAAGTTTGTTTGGTAACGTCCAGAGCAGTGGGTGGTCCTGCTGCACATGGTCACCTGGGTCTCGGGCTCCTTCCATCTTGTTGCTGTGCCATCCCCGAGGTCAGTGTATTATTTGTGTGGTTGAAGCAAGATCATTGTCACGTGGGACTCTCAGCCGGCAAGAAGGGAAAAGAGCCGTGTCCAATGGCATAAGGCCCACACTTGGAAATACCACACGTCCATTTTGTTGCATTGGCAAGACCTTGGTCATGGGCCACATCTACTCGGAAACGTAGCCTAATTGGCTGCCATGTGTGCAGCTCTAACTCTATTACTGTACAAGATCTAAGGACAAAGAAAGAACGGATTTGGGCGGACAACTAGCCATCAGTATTGACTGTGCAGATAACGGAAAAATGCACCAGACCATATCAATTAGCCCAGCTCTGTCGAGGGCTGCTGAGACGTGGAGCAATAGAACCTCTACTTGCGCTCTACTGGAGAGAGGCCCGGGAGAGGGAAGCACATCGCTTTGGGAAATATTTTTGCATTAAATAAAAAAATGTGATGATGCCCACACCTTGGGATGCAGTGACTCTGTCCCTATGGAGATGCCCTAGAAAAACTTGCCTGTGTGTGCACCAGGAGACAAGTACACGAATGTCAGAGCAAAACCTGCGAACAAATGTCCATCGTGTGCAGATTCACTAATGAAATACCACACAGCCGTACCAGTGGGTGAGCTGAAGGTATGTACATTAATATGGATAAACTTACAAACTAATGCTGAGTGGGAAAGCAGATTGCAGAAGGAGATGTCCGGTACACTGTTTATATCAAGTTTGAAAACAAACCCAGGCCAGGCCAGCATGGGGCCCTCGCAGGGGCGGCCTGACTCAGTGCTGGAGGCGAGAAGGGAGTCCATTTGGCAGGGTGGCCTGGCAAGGTGTCAGGGCAGCGGTGGGTGCGAGAGGGCATCTGTGTGAGGAGGGTGTGGTGCGAGATGACTACATACGGGGGTTGATCAAGTACATAAACATATTATGAACAGTGGGAGCCAGGTTTCTCACTATTGAATGCATCAGTGTGGGCTTGTGGTCTTCAAAATAGATACGGAAGTACGTATAGATGTAAATTGGTGTGTGTACGTACATTCACCTATCCCCCAGCAATGCCCTGTATTTTCCTAGGATTATTCTAACAGATTACTACAAACTACGTGGTATTATATAATAGAAATTTATTCTCAGTTCCGGAGACTAGAAGTCTGAAACGTGGTGTTGGCAGGGACATATTCTACATATTCTCTGAAGGCTCTTGGGGAGGATGCTTCCTCCAGTGGTTACCAGTGACCAGTGATCCTTTTCTTGTTCTGCTTTTTGTTATTTATTTATTTGTTGTTAACCCTCGTCCGAGGATATTTTTCCATTGATTTTTTTTAAGGAGAGTGGAAGACAGAGAGAAACAGCGATGTGAGAGAAACACATCGATTGGTTGCCTCCTGCATGAGCCTCAACCAGGGCCCAGGCCAGGGAGGAGCCTGTAACCAAGGTACGAGCCCTTGATGGGAATCGAACCCGGGACCCCTTGGTTCATGGGCTGACGCTCTATCTACTGAGCCAAACCGGCTAGGGCATCAGTGATCCTTGATGTTCCCTGGCTTGTAGACACATCAGTTCAATCTCTGCCTCTGTTGTCACTAGTGTTTTCTCTGCCCCCGCCCCCTCCCCCGTGTCTTCACATGGCCTTTTTATAAGGACATCAATCATTGGATTTGGGGCTCACCTCAATCCAGTATGACCTGGTCTCAACTGATTACTTCTGCAAAGACCCTGTTTTTCTAAGGTCACATTCAGAGGTACTGGGGGTAGGACTCAACGTATCTTTTTGGGGAGATACAGCTCAATCCATAATAACCCATTAACAACACACCTGGCATCCAGCTCTTTTTTTTAACACCATTCTCTACTAAAAAGGAACTAGGGCCCCTTCGAGAAATGGCTGATTCCAGGTCTGGAGCGGGGATAGTACAAGATAAACTTAGAAAATCATGAGATAAACAGTAAGGAAGGCCCGGCTGGTGTCTCAGAGGTTAAGCATTGACCTATAACCAGCAGGTCACCGACCGGGGATTAAACCTGAAACCTGAGTATGTGCTCTGACCAGGAATCAAACCCCCCTTGTACAGGACAACACTCCAACCAACTGAGCCACACTGGCCAGGGCATTAATGTGTATCTTTTATATAGACCGACATTTGTAATTTATACGCTGATATCCAAAAATTGTTTTTATTTAGCCTGGATTGGGGCTTTTGCACATCAGCAAATGAAGCAGCATTTCAAATTGTCTGATGGCAATTATAGAGAAGTGTTAATTTGTGTATACAATTGAAAATTTTATTACTTTTGCTTTAAAAGTAGAAATCAGCCCTGGCTGGTGTGGCTCAGTTGGTTGAGCATTATCCCATGAACCCAAAAGTTGCTGTCAGGTCACATGCCCGGATTTCAAGCTTGATCCCTGGTAGGGGGCATGCAAGAGGCAGCTGATCCACTCTCATATCGATGTTTCTCTCTCTTTCTTTCTCTCTCTTTCTCTCTCTCAAAATCAATTTAAAATATTTTAAAAAATAAAACAGAAGAGTACAATTGGCAATTTTAACAAGAATACAATTGAGCCCTGGCCGGTGGTGCTCAGTGGTTAGAGTGTTGGCCTGAGCGCCAAAGGGTCGCAGGTTCAATTCCTGATCAAGGGCACATACCTGGGTTTCAGGTTTCATCCCAGCCCTGGTCAGCTCCTGCATACATATGTGAATAAACCTGCTAATCTGTCTTTTGTCAGTGTAATTCACAGACCCTCAGCACTGAATTTCAGAGGGCAGAAGGAAAGTTTTTCCTCTTCAACAGAAGCAATGATTTTAGAATCTTCAAGTTTGGGGTAGAATTTAGGGACTTCAGCTCCCCCTGGAGGAATTCTAGTCTTAGGCAAGCCCTGCAGTAGAGAGTTTTCTATCAACCCAATGATTTTCACAGTGTGAACCTGATTGCTTGAAGCCCAGAGTCACAAAGGAGACCTGAGGTTTCACGGAGCGCTGAGGCCAGGTCTCAGTTCTAATCCTAGAGAAAGAAGACGCTGGTGGGGAATTGCATGCATGCCCCCTATTTCCAGGGCCAAGGAAAATGCAGTGTTGTATCTCCTTATCCACATTTTCTTATGTGAATCCACTTTTGTTTTCTACTCCCACTAGTGCACTGGGCCTGGAATTGAACCTGCAACCCAGGGACATGTCCTTGACTGGGAACCAAACCCATAACCTTCCAATGCACAGGATAT